CCCCCCCGCTCCCTCTTCCCGGGGCCCGAGGGAGACGGCGGGCCGGCCGCCGCCTGGCCGTGCAGCCCGCAGGCGCCGTCGGCGGCCCCGGAGCGGTGCCGGGAGCGGAGAGCCCGTCCCGCGGGGAGGGTCGCGGGGGTCCGGCCCCCGTCTCCCTGTGGTTGCCGGCACCCGGGTCGGCAGGTGTATTAGATCCTGGAGCTCTGCTGGCGCAGCCGTGACCCTGCCTGCAGACTGTGGGTGCCGTGCTCGGTGCTAATGAAGTGCCGTAAAATGGTAGTGGTTTCATCGTAAGGATTCCTTATGGGTAGATTGAGAATATTAAGGTCAATAGAGTTCTGTGAGAATGTGCGGTTTTCTTACCTGCGCGAAGGAAAAAAACTTACTTCTTTGAGGGGGGGGGGGCGCGGGAAAAAAGAAAGTAGCTTCCTAGTAACTTGCCGCTGTAGGCCTAGCAATAATTAAAACAAAGTGCTCAGGCAGGTTCTTGTCTTTATACAACAAAATGGCCTTGTCATTCAGGTTGAAGCTAAGGGTAGCTTGAGCTATCTTTATTTAAAAAAAAAAAAAAAAAGCACACTTCCATGAAATTAAAACGTGGATTCTTAAAGTGTAGAGAATTAAGGACTTCTGGAAACGTAACATAAAGGATAATTTTGGTCAGTTTTTATTGTGTATTGCTAGGACATCTGATGTGGTTCCATGGATTTTTTTTTTTTTTAAACCACAATTAAAGACACTTGGATCAAGTGACTCTGCTGCTTTTTTAATGAAATTATAGAAAGTTGCATTTAAGATGTGTAGCAAAGTAGTATTATGTAGTGGTTTGTCCACAGGTAGACAAAAAACCAGTTTGAAAATAATCTACCCATTGTTGAAGTTTCTGTACATTAACCTTTCTAGTATTTCTTGTCATTGCTGTTAGAATGGTATCTTTTGGATTTGCCCCTGAGAAGATCTGGGTAGAAGGAAAGCTTTGTGCATGTGTGCACGTAGGCAACTGTGGTGCACTTTTGTCCGTTCTCCCAAGTGTTACATGCTAAGAAATAAATACTGCTATTAAGGAAGTTCAAAATGTCTGGTTTTTGTTCCAGGTGCTGGTATAAAAGATGAGGCTGAATGAGAGCCGGACAAGATCCTTCCAGGCTCCTGTCACCATCCATAATTACCCGGGTAGGCAGGTGTATGTGTTTCCCAATGGCCGATCTGATTCGGAAGAGTCATCAGAGGAGGAACTCAATGTTACAGAATTGCGACCGAGAGGCAAGGAACAGCAGCGATGCAGCACTTCTCGGGACAGAGTTGGAGATGTGGTACTTCTGGAACGAGAGATTACAGAGGATGATAATCTTAACAAGCTAGCCCTGCAGTATGGTTGTAAAGTAAGAGCTATCTCTGTTTGTTTGGTTTTAATTACTTTAGAGGTATTTTACATGTACCTTAGTATCCAGAATTACAGGAAGGCATGCTGTTGTCTAATAGTTTTGACACTGAAAAGTGTTTGCCCTGTGTATTTCATGAATGGTCAATATCTGGGTAAAACTCAGGTGGAGAAAGGTGGAAAACAAAACAAAACAGAGTTCTTCAGCTAACAGCATAGGAAAATGTTGTCAACCCCACACCCTGTGTAACCTGCTTTCTTGTTTAATTTGGGTGACTAAGTGCAGCGTAGCAGTCATGATTTATACTTAGTTATTTAAGTGAGGGCAAAAAGTAGGAAGCTGAGTACAGAAATGAGGATCAGAGCCCTGCTTTCAAGGAGCATACAGTTTTTGAAGCAAACTGAACAGTACAAGGAAATGCCACTCTGATGGGGTCTAGTTTGGGGTTGTTTTATTTTTTTCATTTATTTTTTGAAAGTTACAAGCTTACATATTGCAAGGAAGGTCTAAGTATAACACGGGTCAACTTGGAGAAGGAGGGATGCCAAAGTCCAGGTCACAGAGTCCAGGTGCTGTCTGTGCATGTGGGTTTTGATTGTTGGCTGTCATACCCAGAAGTGTGTGTGGTTCAGCCATCTGCAGGCAGAAGGGAGTGCATGTGCACGGTGCATTTTCTCTGGAGTTGGAATATACTACAAAATACGTTTTCTTTGTTCAAAAGAAGAGCGCTTTATAGAAAAAACTGTTGAAAAGTTTAATTACCTGATCTGAACATTAGATGTACCCCATTGTTTAGCAGTTAAAGCTGTATTTTTAGAGCCTCCTTTATCTGTGAGCTAGACTGTGATTAAAAAGTTCCATGATGCGAACAATTGGACGGTGACCTGGATGAGGATAATGATACAGTACTGGCTCAACTGCTGCCAAACTATTGCAGCCTGTCTTGCTTAACAACACAACAGCTGTGTGGTGCAGCTGAAGCAAGAGGGTTTAGAGGAATTGCGACAATTCCTCCCCTCCCATTCCCTTAGAAACAAAAACAAAACAAAAAAGAAACCCTTCTAGGTTCTGCTGATGAGCCTGATGCGTGTGAAGAAGCGAGTCTGGTAGGACTTGAATAGGCCTTGATTGGCACCGGTAGAGCCTGAGAACTACAGAGCTGCAGCAGTTGTGACTATATGCTCATCTGTAAGCAGTAGCAATTGCGTCGTTGTTGCCACTTAACGCAGAATCTCAGCAGTTCAGTGAACTCAAAGGAGGAAGATTCTGAGCAACTTTTTTGCTTTGTGGCATGAAAAAACCTGCCATGCCCCCTGTACTGTAACTCAGGAGGACTCGGTCCCGTCCCTGCCATGACTGTTGATCTGCCTCCCCTGCTGCCCTGCTCCTGGAGCCTTTCAGCTCCAGCAGGTGCAGGTAGATCTACCCTGCCTGCCCTGCTGAAGGCTGCTGGGTTTGTCCAGTGGGGAAACCAAGCTGGTGGGGAGGGACCAGGTAGTCAGTGTTCTCTGCCCACAGGAAAAAAAAAACTGTCCCACTGCTTCCCTGCCTTCCAGAAAGGGCACTTCTGACTTGCTCCAAGTAAATTGAGGAGGTACAGAAATCCTTATTATTGGAGATTTGTGTATTTGTCTGTTTACAGGCTGGCACTGATCAATTTTCATGTGTTTTGTTTTACTTGCATAATTAAGCAGCTCCTGAAAGGCTACCAGGACATCAGTGAGGAAGATTTGTAGCCACAAATATATGCGACTGTGTTTAAAAAATCCAGGATGAACTTCTTGAAATCAATGAGAACTTGTAATTGGTTATAGAATCATGAGGGCCTGCTTGGGGTGGGAGTATTAAGACAGTGCAACAAATAGCTTTGTGTGTGCTACAGATAATGTGGCAGAAATGCAAAGCACTTCAAAATTCTCATTTTTACTCTTGACCATTTATAGTCCTGGCCTGCTTTTGGCATTCTTCTTAGCTGGGACAAGAGGAGCTTGCTGCAGCCAAAAAAAATGAGTACAGAAAATAAGCCTAAAAGGCTTGTGCAGCCGAGTGCTCTTGCAGGCTTCCCATCAGCTTTGTTTGTTGTTTCTGCGTGAGTGCTGCTCCACTTTCTGTTTCTAGAGCCTTAGCACAACATTGCAGTGTGTGATTGCAGACACTGCAGGGGATATTTGCTATCCCAATAATTTGCTTTCATTGGAACAAAACCAAAAATTGAAGCATCACCTCAGTTAGGAGGCTTTGGGTGAGATGATTGTTATTTCATAACTACATAATTTTGCAGGGCTTAAGTCCTGATGTTACGCTGGGGCAAGCTGCGAGGAGTCTGAACCAGCATTCCTTTCACCTCAGGAGCACCAGATTAGGATCTAGATTAAGCTTCCCATTTTCAGATTTCTCAAGCTTTGCAGAATAAGCGTGAGATTCAGGCGTTCATCTCCTCTCTGCCTTTCAGCAGAGTCTTGCTTTTTGGCCTTTCAGGCACTGGACGGTAGATGAGCTTGACGCGTGGTGCCCTGACAGCCTGTACGGGCAGGAGGGGAGATCCGCGGAGAGAAGCAGCTCCACAGGCAGAGCCGCTGCTGCTCCTCTCTCCTGTGGCCAGCTGCATGGCCCTCCAACCTGTGGGGCCTCCCTGCAGGGAAGGGAGGACTGCCTTCCCGTGGGCACCTCCTGCGCTGCTGGGGGTGGTACCTCCCCGCTCCTGGCAACCAGCCTGCAGGTATTCCTGAACATTTTTGCAATGGCAAAGGAGATGTTCGAGCTCCCTTCTAGTGTATTCGTGTGTTCCCTTTTAAAAGGAGGTCTTTGCCCTGAGCTGTCAATGATTTTGGCGCTGATGGCACCGGCGCATTTGCTTAGGAAGTGCTTTCTTGTTTTTAGTTCCTCAGTTTCTTTGGCAGCTTCAAGCTTGTGAGGGTGCAGTGAATGCCATTCGTACAGTAAATTACTAGATTTCTAAAAGAACAAATCAAACTTTCTCTGAAAGTGCAGTCCTCATACTGTGTCTCTTCTGTATGATGTATCGGGGGTGGTTAACCTGTTTGTGTTGCCTTTCTCTTTGGTTTGGGGTCTTGCTGCTTTTTCTGGTTTGCATCCTCCAGCCTTTCCCTTGAGGTTCTATTATGTCTCCTTGGCTGCTTTGGAGAGCTCCTTGCACACATTGACAGTTCTGTTCGTTTTCTTTGACAGAGGATTTAGGGCAACTGAGAAGTTCATGTACTTACTTATTAGGTGGTTGTGAGTGGACACTGTGTTAAGCTGTCTTCTCTTTATTTAATATTAAATGAAGAAACGCTGCCTTGCCTTTGTCTTTTCTTTGATACTGGCTATCCTTGTGACTTAGGCTGTATGTATGGTTTGTTCTTTCTTGCTCTTCTTACTGCTATTTGCATCACTGAGCTGGGTGGGAATACCAGTCACAGATGGGAACCCTACACACAAACCACCAGACATGGTCATGGATGCACAGAGATTATTGCCTCAAGCATACCTTCAGCGGGAGCATTTACCAGCTGTGGAGAAATGAGCTGTATGGAGCTGTAGTCGTGCAGAAGAGGGGTGGTGCTTGGGAACATGAGCAGAGGATGCCCACATCTATGTGGGAGATGCTCGCCTGCTCCCTTCCAGGCTGTGATCTTGCTTTCACAACTGTGGTATGCTCCAAAGACGGAGCTCTGTTCACTCTGAAATCACTTTCTGAGCAGAGGGAGGGTTTTGCCTGCTCATACTGATGTTGTCATCTCACCTTAAACACTCATGCATTATTTAAGGTATGAAAACTTTTTAAAAGGATCTGTTACAAAGACTCTTCTTGCCTTAACTTGGATTAGAAAGTAAGTGAGAGAAGGGTAAAGAAAGCAAAAGGAAGGAAAAACAGTATTAAGCAAAATACAGCATATGAGAGATACAAGAGCACTAAAGGAGTTTTAATAGACAGACTGGTTAATAGGGGACTTTCTATCCTGCAGGACCTGGAGTGTCCCTGGAACAGCTGGGAAGTCTCTGCAGAACACTAAGCCACTTGTAGCCAGGGTTTGCGTTTATTTTCTGACCACTGCTTGCACACTAGTTTTGTAGCTACTTCCTGCTTCAGTACTGGGTTGTCCTACACTAATATTCGTGTCCCTTTTGGATTCTGTAGGTTGCAGATATCAAACGTGTCAACAACTTCATCCAGGACCAGGACTTGTATGCACTGAAGTCCATCAAGATCCCTGTGAAGACCCACGGGCTCTTAACAGAGAAGGGCAGAGAACTAAGGCCGCTCTCAACTGTGGCCTCCCAGACCGGCCTGACGCTTGTAGACTTACCGGAGCCTGATGATGGTGCGAGCAGCTCTGCTGATGGCAGACACCTGAGTGACTACTTCAAGGGGATTGACAAGAGCATTCAGGATGCGGTGCAGGTGGAGGTCCAGCTAAATGCAGAGTATTGCATGGAAGCACTGGAGAGGCCGCTGCCTGAGTCAGGGAAGCAGGAGACTAGTAATGGTGCGGACTGTGGAATCCAGTGGTGGAATGCAGTTTTTATTATGCTTCTGATAGGAATTGTCCTGCCAGTATTTTATATCATCTATTTTAAAGCACAAGGCTTGGTGGCCCATACATCTAACACAACACTAACCTCAAATATTTCAACACATGGATTGGAAGGGAAATTGCCACAAAGCTCAGTTGTACAAAAAAAATCCTAAGGGGGAGAGAAAGCCAAATACAGCCTCTCCTCCCGGTGCAGGAGCCCATACATCAGTGACTCTGACTTGAGTGCGTTCAGGGGGATAACAATACAGATTATTTTTATTTTTTTAAGTAGCTGATATTGTAATCCTGAACTTGACTGAAAGTGAGGTGATGTGATTTTTATGGAAAAATGAGGATGCTTTGTTGCTTGTAAAGACAGATCATCAGGCAGCTGGCTTAACACTCATGAACTCTGTTGAGAGAAAGTATTTTGTAGCCATTTACTCATCTTGGTTGCTTCAGGTATTTCTTAATGCCTTCTCTAAGAAGTGAATCCTTTGCTGCTGAGATAAAGAGTGCAGTATTAATGTGGTGATTGGTAAGTTGGGGGTTTGCATTTTAAGAAAACACTTCTTGCTTAGAGTAGAAGCGGGGACTCTTCTATTTCTCTGAACTGTCATTTTTTATCTCTTGCATACCATGGCGGTTTTGGCATACTTAACCCTAAAATGATGACTTCTAGCATGTTAAGCTGGGGGTGCCATGCCACAAGGACAATGACAGCACCTCAGCTTTTTATCCTTTTGAGCAAATGTTTAAGCTGTGTTTATTAGGATGCTTCAAGCCCACTGCTGGGAAGGGTGAGCCCAGATCTCTTCTCTTCCCCTTGATGAAATCCGTCAGAGACTTCTCTTGAAATCCAGTGTCTCTACAGGTGGAGCTCATTGCAGAATCCGTGCTGTTGCCAGGGTACTGCATGTCCAAAGCCAATGCTTCAGCATGACTGCAGGTGGCCAAAGAGTATTGGAGGAGGACGTGAGTGTAGCGTTAGGCCTGTGGTACGCAGTATGTGCTTCTCAAAGGCTCGTTTGTTGGGGGGGAGGGCTAGCCAGTATTACTTTTTTTAAAAAAAAAAAAAAAAAGATAATCCATAATGGTGCACCTCAAACACCCCATTTCAGTCATGGACTTGAGCGTCCTTGTGTGTAGTCTTCATGTGAACGAGCATTGCCATTTCATTTGCAAGGTCTGGGAGGAAAGCCCTGCGTTACCTTAGACAGTCACAGAAGGAAGTGTAAATCCTTTGTAGGATGGGGACTGTGAAGCTGCTGATTGTTAAGCGTTTCTGTGAACTGCTGACATTTGCATGGAAAAGCTTCTGAGTGGGTAGGAAAAAACAATGACACTTTGGAGGCTGGTGGTGGTGTCCTGAGATGTAGGTAAGCCTTAGGTTGGTGCTGTTTAGGACAAATCAGTAAAAACTACGTGCTAGAAGTGAACAGGAAATGAGGCTTTGGGGAGCTTTGCTGCAGGGAAGAATTGGCCTCAAAAATTTAATTCAGCAAATTCAGGGACAGTGCGCAGAGATAAAGGCTCTCCTAGAACCAAACCCTGAGGTATTTTGTAGCACAGTTGCATGAAACCTGGCCTGGGATGAGGTGATGTATGATGTAAGCAGCAGCCCACTGAAAGCAGCTAGCTCTGTTTCAGGAGGGGTCCTGGCCCTTTCCTGGGCCACTTGTGCAGGGCTTGGCTGGTCTCCTGCTGCTGAGCTGGCAGCTGCAGTCATTGCTGAGGGTAAGGGGCACAGGGCTGGTGGGTGGGTGGAAAAAGCTGTTGTTTGGCTTTCCCTCCTGCCTTGTCCCAGGATCCCTTGTCCCAGGATTGGTTCCATTAAGCTGTTGGTGGGACAGCAGCCTGGCCCGAGCCTTTTCACCAGCGGGCATGGCTGCTGCCAAGAGCTGCTGGAGTAGGAGCAGGGGCAGCAGCCTTCGCAAGGCCAGACTGGTGCTGACCCTGCCAGGGCAAGGTGTCACAGCAGGGGAACTCATGAGTTGCTGCTTTGGTTTTTGTTGTGGGTTTGTTTTTTTTTTTTTAAAGCTTTAGTGCTGCTTACAGCCCTATGAGGGAAGGCTAAGCTGGGCAGCTGTGGTGTACAGGCATGATCTGCTTCTCCCCGAGGAAGAGCAGCCTGACAGCATCTGCGTCAGGGGGTGGGGGGGAGGCAGGACTGAGGCCTCCCAGCAACCTGAGGAACACCACACCAAGCAAGCAGAACCCTGGGATGTTACAATGATAACCTGTGTTTCCTGCAACCCTTAAAACAAAGTACTCAGGAAAGCCTGAGGGAACCTAATTTTGTAAACAAGGACTCTATCTTATACTGAAAAAAACCCCAACTTGTATTTTTCTTCTGTGAAGAAAATGTATCTTTCTTTGTTCAGGGTCGGGGGGCAGGGGGGGATTATTACATTTTCAAAGAAAGAAAAATGAAATAAAAGCACAAGGGGCACTACCCACTCCAGGCAGCTTATGCTTTTTGTTGTCTCCACCACTAGCCTATGCTGTGTTGCACAGCTGAGTGCATTCTTTGGACAGACAAGTGCCTTGCAGCATCTCCACCTGACCCCAGAAAAAGTAAGAATTCAGAACACCTTTCTCTGCCAAGTTTCTTCTTTTGCAAAAGCTGTTTGTTTCACAGAGCCCCCTCCAGCTGCAGGGAGCTTGTGGGGTGCTGCCATTTCCTTATTGCTCGTTTCACAATGCAGAACTGCAGCCAGCCAGGCAGGGCAGCGAGGGGAACAGGGCAGTGCTGCACTCTGCCTGCAGCCACCCCACCAGCTTCCTGGCAGCCCCCTGCCTGCCTGCCTGGCTCAGGGCAGCACCTGCAGCAAGGGACAGGAGCAATGGCAGGAAGAGGGGGAGGGAAGGAAGGGAGGGCTTGCCTTCGGTTCACCAGTCAGAATTCACCCAGGTCTTCCTGCAAGTTTCTGTAAGCATTGTGTAATAAGGTTCTTGCAGGGCATCAGTTCGTAATTTGAAGTAGTAACAGGTATATGTATCCCCCCAAAATCCATACTAAAAGAATCATTGCTGCAGGTCAAAACCAATGCTTCAAAACTGAATCAGGTAGCCGGCAAGGGGGGCAAAGATGTGCCACACAGGAAGACTCGCTCTGCAAACACGAGAGAGGCTGGAGTACACAGTAAAAGCCAGTATCTTTACTTTAGTGAATGCAGGATACAAATATTTTACAACAACCTCTAGCATTTTCTTAACCATTTGATAAAAAGTTCACTAGAATATTTATTGTATATTGAAGAAAAAACAACACATTCAGGGAAAAAAATTGAGATTAACTTATTTTTTTCTTAAAAGATTCGTCTCAAGGATGGCAACAAAGTCCAGCTTGTGCCGCCAAACGGCTTATCAGCATTAAACCGTGAACAGCTTCTTTGTGAACTGTTGACTACAAACATTTACCAAATACATAAATCTCTTTTAAAAAAGCCATTTTAAATATAGCAAAGCAGTGTTCTCTTGCACAGCAAAGTGAAGAAAGTTTCTACTAAGATTTAAATGTTTACATTTATTAAGTCTTTCTTTCACATTCTAATTTAACTTCTTCCCATGATCAATTGTTAGGAGTTATTTTGTTCCTTATTTACTATGTATTTCTTGTGCGCACAGTAATTCGCAAGTTTCTGATGCATTAGTGTCCTTTAAGTGAAAGGAAAGGCTAAAGCATTTTTCTCTGACGAATCCCTGATAACGTGTATTTTTAAATACTATAGTGAGAGCTCGAAGATGGAGAGGTGATTTGTCACAACAAAGATAAAAATCTTAAATCATTCAGGCTTGAAGGGGTTCAGATGAGGACTGGATCCCCTTGCAACTTCATTCAGTATAGTTAATTAAAAAAAGTATTTTTTACCTGTTGAAATACCTGTGCTATGTCATCTTTTTTTTTTTTTATAAAACATTTTTACAATTCCTAAAAAAGTATGTTCCAAAGTTAGTTACTTGTTATTAAAAATCAGGATTCCCGTTTATTCAACGGCATGAAATTCTCCCCCCCAACAGGGGAGGTCTGTGGAAAGACTTGTTCTGCCAAGTCTGTTAGAGGGTTTGGGGCAACATGTGAACAGTCCCAGTAGCAGTTCTTAAGAACAGATTGATTATTAGTTGTTGGGTTTTTTTTTAATTCATTGGTGCAATTTCAATACAAACTCTAACCCTTATGTAGCTTTTTTCTTAAAGAAAACAGTAATAGTACTGTTTAAAAACCTGCATAGAAATAAAGACTATTGAGATACAGTCAGCAAAGCCATCTTATAAGGCACACAAGAAAATAGACAGTAAATGTGAATGCAGAACTCCCACTCAGATGTACAGCAAAGTTCATATATGTGCATAAATAATGAAAAAAATCACATAACTTTCCAGAGCAGTAAAAGGTTCTCTGAAGTGGTAAGTGAATTCAGTCACTTTGGAAAGAGAGTTGCCATTAGAAAGAGTCTCATTTCCCTCTATGCTTCAGTAAACCGGTAACTAACCACAAAAAATGGAGAGTAATTGCCAAAGGTAAGTGGCTGAAAACCGAATGGAAACCTGTATGCTTTTTAGAGGTTACCATGACAACAAGAGATCAGGATTTGGAAGCTGTAGGTACTAAGACTTTGTTCTTCAATCACACATTAAAGCAAGCACCCGAGGAGGGAGCTGTCCCCCTTGGATTTCCATTTCTCACACTTAGTTACAGTATCAAGGAAGTGATTTTTTCTAATTGCCAAAACCCCCCAAATTTAAAGCCCAAGCAAAAATGTAATGACTATCAGGGATAACTTTAAAGGAGACCAGATAATAAAACAGCACTGCAGGTAGTTTCCTCCCCAGAAGAAGAACTCCCAGCAGTAAGATTTAGTTTTTGGTTCCCCATACAGAAGCTTCGCAGGTGCAGGGAGAGGAGATGCACAGCGAGGACCTGGAAAAAGACCCGATTTCAACAAGGCAAGGACATGCCCCAGAGTGGAATGGGCTCCCCCAAACCCAGCTGGTGTAAGCTGGACTGGTCTGAGCAGGGCTGAGGAGTGACCAGGAGAGAGGACACTGCCCTTGCTGTCCCTGCCCTTCCCTGACCACACAGCCAGGCTCTGCAAATAAGATCACGCTACTGAATCCAAGTCCACAACAAAACCTCCGAGCTAGGCCTTGCGAGACGATGGGGCTCTGGCTTCCTCGCTCCGCTTCAAGGAAGCAGCAAATTTACTTCTGTGGCTGCGGCTTTATCCCAAACCACTTACCAACTTAAAAAACCTTTTGTGCTCCTCTGATATGTGTTATTTCCCTATCATGAGAAATTAGGTCAAGTTTTTCCACTGTTTTTTTTTCTTCCTCCTCAGAAGAGGCAGCTTTAAAATGATGCCTTAAAATGTGTTGTAACAGATTTTTTATATTTATGCAGGATGAACTTAACACCGGATTTTTTTTTTTTGCCGCTTTGCTATTTATATACATATATATAAAATGTATAATGAAGCTTAACCATACAGCACAGAGATTACAATTTAACGGCACACATTCACCACCAGTGAGGGGGAAAACCCCTTTATACACCCTCTGAAAAATCTGGATAATAATATTAATAATAATTAAAATCCAAAGAAAGTACAGTATATTTAACAAAATAGTAAATATTAAACAGTGAATACTCTACTTAATAAGGACCTCGCCTTTTTTCAAGTTGGCGTCAATCCACAAAAATATACTTTTTAATCTGGTGAACGTACAATACATAGGTACTTACACCAAAGGTGATAATATATTTAGGATGCTATATACACAAAGAGTTTGGCTCAAATTTAAATTTACATATAAGTGTTCATGGCTTATTTTTCCCCCAAGGTTCCGCCTGCAAGTTTTTCCTTTTCATCTTTGAAAGCAAAAACTAGAAAGTCAAAATAAGATAAAACTATACTCTACAAAAAAGCTACAACATACAGCTTTGGCTTATATAAATAATTCATAGCAGAATGTGTTCAAAAGTACTGTATATAACTTTATATATAGTCTTCAATTCATTAGGGTATTGTTTTCTTTAATATAAAATATACATGAGCTAA